TGAGGGGGGGGGGGGGGGGGGTCCAAGTCATAGAAAATTTTAAATGGGACCAAGGAACCAAATGGGAGTCAGGACTTCAAAGTTAACAACTGTCTATGGAAGATCAGGCTTGTTTGGCAATGCTCCTGCCATGCAGGAACACTGCAATGCAGTGCAGATCATATTAATTCTGGGAGGTGCCTTTTTTCTGGGTTCTGTTAACTTTCTGACAGACAGAACTTGTCAGAGTTATTTATGCCTTAATCAACTCCATATTAGGCTACTATGGCAAACTCTTTCTTGGATAAAACGTATTAGGAAACTGTGATTGGTGCAAGATGTGGCTACTAGGAGGAGCTAGGCATTTTTACTGTGTTCTGTCTCCTCTACCTGTTCGCACAGGTTTCCAGTTGGTTTCTGGAGCACCTTCTTCCATATGTTCCTGCTTCATGCTTGTCATACAAGACACTATTTCAGATCTCTTGGTCATTGAAGATAACTACAAGTTCTAGAATTATTTATGTGGTTCCATCCAGTTGTAAAATGCTCTGCCAACAGAGATTATTCAGGACTATTTAGTTAACAGTTTTAATATCTCTTGGATTAGTTGCTGTTCCTACAAATTTTCATTCCTGATTTAGTAATTTGGCTTTTTAAGATTTTTACATAGGTAGCAATTGGGAGGCTCTTGTTTTAAATATTGCTGATTTTCTATTTGTTTATTTTTTTTCCTCTTCTGGAAATCAATAGAATATAAATTTTGAACCATTCAATAAAATTATAGCACCCTTTCATTATTAGCCATTCCCTTCCCAAATATTCTTTAGGATGTAGCAAAAAAACTTTCCTAAAATGCCCCCAACCCTGACTAAATCTAGCAATCATCTGCATGTAGAAGCTTTGCGCATTATGACCATTTTCCCACCAGCATCTTATCTTCTAGAGTCATCCAGCCATTGATGTGCCAAAATAACAGTAATGAGGAGAGGTGTTATATCGCTTCAACAAAGACTGGGTGATGCAATGAAGATGGTATAAATCATGAGTGGGGAAAATCTCCTGATTTGCATGCAGTTGTCTTGTTCAATTGTACTAAGCAAAGTGTTATATTATCATTTCTGTAATCTCAGTTGATATTCTCCCCACTTTTGAGATCTTGAAGAGGTGATCAGAATGTTGCTTTTTCTTGTTTCAGTACTGCTTCCAGTGGGCAGTTCTGAAACAAGAAAAAACAACAAGGGTTTTTGAGTTGGACATGGTATACAGATGGGCAAATACAAGAAGAGTGATTTGGATAAGAACTTTCAAACATGTTCTGCTCTTAGGACTCAATTTGGTCTCTGTAATATCCTTGCAGCCCAAGCCAGACCATATGGGGTCCTTTACATACCTACATCCCCTTCATGGATCACTCATGAATGGGTGGATTTAATTCAGGTGACTATTATATCTACTACTGTGGGCAAGAAACCCTTAGAAGAAATGGAGTTGCACTCA